CATAGGTATGCGTGGATTTATGGTGAAGCTAATTTGCGACTTCTGGTGGAGCCATGACTGTGAACCTGTTAGATTATGAGTAAACTACCCTAATGAAATTAAGCCGGTTGGGTAATGGCAACGTTCATAAGAATTTTATATACTTTTTTTTATAATATTCCGTGACGGGACGAACAAGTCGTACGCCTATGTGCGCGCGATGGTAAGCTACACGCCTGTCCATAACAGTTGCAGTGCCACTCAGAGTTTTAAATCGCAAAAGTCATAGGGGCACTGCCACTGCACACATCACCCTGAGATATAACTTGACAAGTCCCATGTGGCGGTAATTTCACCAGCGCCCTTACCCTTCAAAACCGGAGCACAGTAATGCTGCTTGGCGGCAGAAATAGGTAAGGTGGCAGTACTTCCCTGAAGGAACTCTTTCACAGGGAGTTCTACTGCTACTATAAATGTCTATGTGTGTGTTCATGGCTCACGCGATACAGGGTTTCCCTAGTGCGGGGCAATGAGTGTGCACGTTATTATTGTTACTAATCAATGTAATCCAACTCTACAAATCATTAAATTTGTATATTTCAGATACACAAAATCGAATTATGAATAACACGAGAAATATGGAAACTTTGACTGTGTCATGGGAAAAAAGATTAACTAAGTCAGACGATAACAAAACAAACGTCTGTGTTTTGCAATTAACTATGAAAAATAATGAAAAAGCTCCATTTAAAGATATTTTAGACAAAAGTGTTACGTTGAGACTGATAGAAGAAAAGGAAGCAAACAACATTTGTGAGGAACAATTTATAAACGGTGATATAAAATATTATTGGCTCGTCCTGGCCGCTTATTGCATGACTTTCTACTTACACACTAATTTCCACTGTAAATGCTTTCGTTATTGCTTGATTGAAATTAATTATTTTCTTACTTCCCGTCCCTTTCACGTAGTCCTGTCATTTGAATTCAAAGTTCTAAGGTAAAAGTTCTCGTAAGTATATTTTGATGGACAATTTAGTGATAATTTTTCATTGAACAGCTTCAGAATCAAAGAGTTTCGTGTTAAAAATACTGGAGGTATAGTAGCTATATAGATATGCATATTAGTGTTGCAGTAATTGTATTCTATCGAATTCGGAAAAAGCCAAAAATTGCAAAATATGAATATAAATAAATATAACCAGAGGAATCTCTTTACGTCTGTATTTTCATAATTATTTTAGTTAGAACCTCCTATGGCCCCGTGGACATTCAAATATATGTAAAGTCTGTTCCAATCCATTTTGAACAAAAAATAACCAAAACTGTTTAGTTAAAATTCTAAAGCAATCACTCAATAAAACGAATAAGTAATATTTCGAAGATTTTGACTTGATATCTCATCACTTTTCTCAACAATGTTCATTTGAATAGCATCGTAAAATCGTATTTGAAAAATGGCAGTCCAAAAGTGAGGTTATTTTTCAACTATACAACTATGACTTGTCTATGCTTGCATAGTGCGGTACGAAAAAAAAACATTTTTCGTTCGTTCAATTAAAATTTCTGTAATCGAATCGAAAATATTCGATTTACTAATTGATTATCGAGTAGATAGATAGATAGATAGATAAAACGTTTATTGTCTTGCATCACACACACAACAATATAATAGAGTAAATTGATTAAGAGACACAGAAATCAAAATTAAAACGAAAAAAAGCATAAAAACATAATACTAACCTAATTATCAACAGCTGCGTGTGTGTGCTAAAGCAAGCCAAATAGGTCGTGGCTCAGTGCAAAATTTGCTCACGAGCAAGGCACTGATTTTCAGCCACCACCTTCGAGGGTAGCGCGTTGCGGTGCATCAAAAACAAAAACATTGTGAGGTGAATGTAGCGTGCATATGTTAGTATCACGTGAGAATTATGTGCATTATAAAATATTTAAAAAAAAAAATAGTAACTGTAAAAAATAAAAAAATAAAAATTTGAAAAAATATTAATACAAATTCATAATTGGTATAATTAAAATAAAATAATAATAATAATCAGTACTTAATATCGATGAAAGCCATTGTAACATTAAATGATGATAATAAATGTCCAAGAAGCAAGGGGACTTCATTCTAGAAGCCTCCGCTATGTAAAGCGTTTAGGAATACCCAGTTTTTGCCTATCAAATATAAATTCCCTCAAATGTTTTTTAAACGTAAACTTAGTTTTAAGGAGTCTAAGCGGGGGTGGAATATTATTCCAACATTTCGTTGCTTGATAGCGGAAGCTTCCAGTAAAGGCCACAGTGCGATGAATTTGTCCCGCCAACAGAGGTCTCACGGTTCTAGTAGAAAATTTGTCGTGAAAAGTGGAGAATTTTAACTTTCCATACAAGTACTCTGGTTTTTGGAACTTTATCACGCCAAACAGCATACACGCGAGATGTAGATGTCTTCGCGAGTCCATATTTAACATGTTTGCATTGTTTAAATATTGAGTATCTAACGATTATCGAGTATCTAACGAACGAGTATCTAAGTGTAAGGATTTGAAGGACGATTTAAAATTAAATTAATCGGAAATTTTAAATATGCTTATATAGGTTATATGTAAGAAAAACGGCCAGTGTGACTCAACTGAACAAATCGGTTCATTCATTTAATTAATCCATTACAATTGGCCATCACTAAACCGTCTATGGTCGGGTCAGTGACTTGTTTGTTTACGTTTTGTTCAAAATGGATTGAAACAAAGTATAGTATATGAAGTGATTCAGAACCAAAACAACATTATTCCTATGTACATATATATAAAAACTTTAAAAAATCTCGTTTTCGTTCTTCAAACAAAACTGAGGACATACTTGCTTGGGTCTGAAGCGTGTTTAGTACATTTTAAAGTACATTGAGCTATTCTCATTCAAATTTTCCGGGTTATAAAGAGGTTGAGCCCTTTTAAGCATTTTACTATACGAGGATCAAACGCAGAAAAAATGTGCTTTTTTAAAATTGACATGTCCTTTAACTTAAAACTTCTTTGTAAAATTTAGTTTTGAAAGCAGACTAAAAACATTGTCTTTATTGGCACGTCAATTCTTTCCACCCAAGAAATATTTAAGTGTAGAGTAAAATTATACAATAAATTCAGTATGTTCAATGTAAAAAAAGAGATTGAAATACCCTTCATACTTTTTTAGAATGTCCCGTGCCAGTTGTATATTTTTCTTCATTGTCCTAAATAAATCAATTTCGTTACTCGGTCTTAGTTACACAACTTTTAAAAATAATTGCTGCATTTCTGAACATACACATGTTTTCTTAATTGGCAACATTCTTTGAACCCTATTTTAATATTTGTCATCAACTGCCATTTTGTTACGACGAAGACATTGGACGTTTGAGTTGGGTAAGTATTTTGTATAATTTTTTATCAGGTGATTACGACCGTTCTTAAGAAAGTGTTTCTAAATATTTATTTACTTACAAAGGCTACCGATACGTACATACATATTCCTACATTCATTGAGATTTCAATTCAAAAGCAAATGTTGTGCTTAAAAAAAATTGACGTAAGAATTTATCAGATATTCTTAACCGTTTCGTTGCGTTACGAAACTGAGAAAATATAAAGTCGCCTAAACATTCATTATAATGACAAACAAACTGAAACATGCATAAAATTAATAAAACAAAAATATTTAACTAAAACTGGTTTGTTTGCAGAAGGGACACCTATGACGAATGCCGATAGGTAAAAAAATATCATAAACGCTACAAAAATGACCCCGTTAAATGTGAAGTTTTGAGGAAAAAAAATGTACATAGAGTTAAATTAAAGAAGAAGAAAATAAAGTATCTAAGCGATACTAAAAAAGTAAGGTAAATACATTACAGAGATGCAGTACAGAGTTCTAAAAAAAGACCTCAAAAGTACGTGGAATTACATCTATTTGCCAAGTTTTATTGAAATATGGGGATGTTTAGTTGGGGCGTTTTGGGGGCTCCACCTACATCTTGGAGCCCAAGCTAACCTCACCTGCAAGTGGTGCGCCTGCTGATAGACGGACGAGGCTCTAGCGAGGGGTTTTCTCTTTCGGGGGTTGGGAGGTCAGACGGCAGTCGCT